GTGAGGTTGGCCCAGGACCGGCCAGTGTTTCTTTCTGTTGTGCATAGTGTCGCTATGGGTCGGTACCGACTCGATGGCACCAAACAACAACAACTTTCAACTTACCCTTGAATCTATTGTTTGTCTTAATATAAAAAATGGTGGGTTTTCCCGAAATATTCAAGACAGATTAAAATCCAGGGTGACATGCTGATTTTATCCTATGATCTCAACACCTCAAGTTGCCCTTCTTGTACAAGTTTCCAGCCTGTCCAGTTACTGTCCCTGCAGTTACCAATGCCTTCCCCATGACTCGACCAAAGGATATGGTTTTATGCTAGACCAAATCAGCAGCACCAGGCTCAGTTTTCCTTCCTCTTTACGACAAATCTGATGGCTTATGCCCTAACTCTCTGGCTACTCTTCAGTCATCTTTGTTGTCTTCTCCTACTGTTGTTGTTGTTCAGTGTTGTCAAGTCGGTTCTGACCCACAGAGGCTCTGTGGTGCTGCACGATAACCACAGGACTGCAAAGTCAGTTAGAACCACAAGGTCAGTGGTTCAAACTCACCAGTCACTCCTCAGTCCCATACTGGGTCACTATGAGTCAGAACTGACCTGCTGGCATTTAAAAACAACAACAAATCTCTACGGAAGCAGGAAGCCTCATTTTTCTTCCCAGGAATGGCTTGTGGGTAGGAACTGAACTGCCGACCATGTGGGGAGCAATCCCCCCTTTTACATAATGGAGCAACTCAGGCTTCTCCTAGGCTCTCTTTACGTTTCACTCTCAGACAGGGTCAAAACTCAAATGCCTACAGGCCAAGTTGGGAAGGTAAGAGAAATGAAGTGGACGCACTGTGAAGAACACCAGAGGAGAAAGAACAGGAGGACTGGGGCAAACTGAAGAGCATGCGCATGTCCTAATCTAACAGGACCAGACATTATACTTATACTTAGTTCCAAACAGCAGACTTGCAGAAATGTGGGGTCACTGTTGCAGGATGACCTAATTTCTCAAAGGAAGCAAGAATCCAGATAGATATTAATTTTAAATCCCAATATTCATTGTTGGCCCTTGGGTTTTTTTGTTGTTGTCATCTATTTGTTTGTTTTTTGACCCTCTTTTTATAAAACACATTTTGGAGCCCAAGAAAACAGCAGAGGGCCACATATAGAATGCATGGCACAAGTTTGAAATATCTTTTCTATAAATTCTTCCTAGGCCGCTGAAGCTCCTCCAATGGCTATACACCAAAGATTCCCAAATGTATACCACTAACCCAATCTTCCCTTCGGGGCTCCGGGACCATCTAAATAACTGCTGGTGGACCAGCTTTAATCATGTGCTTCCCAGGCACCTCAAACTCGACATCTCCTGATTGCCAAATGGCTTGCGTCTAAAAGCTGGAGATTACCCTTGAATCCTCTCTTTCCCTTACTCCTTTCATCCTTTCTACCTCCTTAGGATCAATGTGTTCACCTGTCTGCCCCTTCCTTCACTGCTACCGCCTAGTCGGTGTCAGCACCAGCTCTCCTAGGGAATTCAGCCTCAGAATTGTTTGCTGCAGTTCCTCCTCTCTTCTATCCATCACTCTGGAACAAAAAGCATGTTTTGAAAATGCAGATCTCTCCTAGTTTAACCTTACAATGACTTTCCATTATTCTTATGATCACATTCCAATCCCTGTCTCCACAGCCTGACTCCTAGGAACCTTTTCGGCTTCATTTCAAAGCACCCTCCTGTCCCCTTGCAAAACCTCTGTCCTCTGTGCCTGAAACATTCTCCCTCCCTTAACACACAAACATATACCATCAAACACCCTCTCCACTCGCACTCATCCTTTAGGCCCCTAGAAGAAATGAGGACTCCCTACCACATAGTCCCAGACTTCCTCTTTTGTAACATTCATCAAGATATATCCTATATTTGTTATATGAATGTCTTCCCCCATTCAATCTTAAAACACAAGAGGAGAAGGTATCTGGCTTGCTCACTATTATGCGGTATCTACAATATCCACTACAACTGTGAAACACACTAACTTGAAAAACAAAACAAAAACCAAACCCCTCACTGCTGTCAAGTAGATCTGAACTCACAGCGACCCCAGGCAAGAGTAGAACTGCCCACTGGCTACTCTAGGCTGCAATCTTTACAGAATCAGGTGACCAGGTCTTTCTCCTACAAAGTGATGGAGTGAGTTTGAACAGCCAATCTTGCAGTTTGCAGCCCAGTGCTTAACCCACTGTAGCAACCAGGGCTCCAATGGCACACACTAGGGACTCAATAAACATATGTTGAGTCAATTAATAAGATCTCTGATGAGAAGTACCATGTCTTCCCCCCAGGTCCACACAAGCACACCATTCGTCACATAGTGAGGAGCAGACAGCCTCTTTCTAGGCATGGCTGCCTCCACTTCTCTCTTCTTCCCATCTCAGACACCAGCACTGAATTAAACCTAGACTTCCCTTCTCCACAATTTCCCAGTGCTTCTTGATAAGGCTGAAGCCATAACGTTAGAGTGAAGAACTCTCCATAACATTATTCACCCCACCTACTACATCTAGTATGACATTGTAGGATAAGCACTGGACTGCTAACCACAAGGTTGGTGGTTCAAACCCACCAGCTGCTCTTCAGAAACCCTATACAGGGTCACTATGAGTTGGAACCAACTTGACAGCACTTAACGACAGTAACAACTACACAAATAATATTTAACTCCAAATCTGAAGGAATGGCTATGATTAGGTAGAGAGAAGCCTTGAACCCAACACAGGCTGAGTGAGGGAAAGTGCAAAGATTGCCTAGTGATGTCTGTCCCATCAATTAGTAATGTCTACCATGGGCAGCTGCTCCTCAGAAACTGTACGCAGGATCCCTATGAGTTAGAACCCACCAGGAGGCACTTAACAACCACCATCCTTATGGGATGGCAATATAGCTGTCATCCGGACTCCTGGTGTGGTACTGTAGGATCAGCACAGGACTTCAAACTACAAAGTCAGCAGTTCAAACCCACCAGCTGTTCCTCAGGAACCCTATACAGGGCCGCTATGTGTCATAACAGACTCAACAGCACTTAACAACAACAATAACAACATAGCTGTCATCTGGTTACCAATAATGAACTAGATGGAGCCAACGGGGATTTTGGACCCTTAAAAGTTCACGGGCATACACAGGGGATCTCAGAGCTTTCTATGAGAAGTGTTTTGATTGTGTGGTTTCATTATAATTGTGGTTGTTGTTAAGTACCATCGAGTCGGTTCCAACTCATAGCGATCCTGTATAGTGCTTCGGAGGAGTGGCTGGTAGGTTTGAACCACCAACCTTGCAGCTTAAACCTGACCTTGTGGTTCCGCACATTCTCCTGCAGTGCCACACCAGGACTCCATTCATTATGACAGGAATGCTTACAATTTTTAAGTAAATATTACAGTGCAACTCACTGTTACCATCTGTTTGTGTTTATGAACATAGTAGAGCCAAGTAATATTACTTTACTTGCAACTGGCCAAAGAGAAAAGAACACAAGACTTAGCATCTAAATGATGCCCTACAAACCAGTGAAAGAATTTTGCAGTAATGACAAGAGAAAAGTGGCCAAGCTCAGTTTTCACATGGACCACCAGATAAGCACTGGGCTGCTCACCACAAGGTGGAAAGTTCAAACCCACCAGCCTCTCCACAGGAGAAAGATGAGGCTTTCTGCTCCCATAAGATTTATAGCCTCAGAAATCCTATGCAGGTTTGCTATGGTGCTGTAGGATCAGCACTGGACTGTGAATCACAAGGTCAGCAGCTCAAACCCACCAGCTGCTCCAGAGAAAACCTATACAGGATTACTATGAGTCAGAACCAACCCGACAGCAATTAACACCACCACCTAACAACAGGTGATTGGTCTTGCTAAACTCAAGACAATGTGAGTTATACAGCAGTTAGCACCAAATTCAGACTGAGAGCTTCAATTCAACTCAGCACCATCGCATCTGTCACATTTAATTAAAGTTGTTAATTTGCATTTACTACATTTGTAACTTTGTACTTATTTTGTGTATGTGTTTTGGTTTGTGGCTATATCACAGCTGTAACCAAAGAACACAACTTGGCTAGTAAGTTCATGTTTGAACCTGCTTGAGTAACATCAACTTACAAATGAGCACGGAGGATCTGTGAAAAAAATTTTTTTCCTTTAAAAGATTCTGTATATTACTCACAGCCTCACTTATCAGAACGTTTTAAAGGAGTGAGTTGGGTGAACTCTAGGTAAATATGCATATATAGCATGTTATCTGCACATAGTGGACTGCAAGGTCAGTAAACCGCAAGGCTGGCGGCTCAATCTCACCAGCAATAACAATAACAACAGTCTGCACATACACAATTGTCATTGTTAAGCACCATGGAGTCGGTTATGACCTGTCTATGGCTTTCAAGGTGTGGCGGGTGAGTTTGAACTGCAAACCTTGCAGCCTAGTGCTATATATATCCTGCAGCACCACACTAAACAACACATAACACAAGCCTTAGAATTGATCTTGACTTTCACTCAGTGATTCTCTTCAATGTGCTCTGAGCTGGTGAATCTAGCCAAGATCACAAATGTAAACGCCTGTGAGTCCAGGCAGGAAATAAATGAATGAAGCTGGTCTGGGCATGAGAAAACAATTTTCTTGAAATCCTCAGCCTTCTTTATATATATATATATGTTTTCTTAGTTTTGATACATATGTAAGTGCAAGGTGGATTTCACTTGCCTCTTAACCTCATTAAATTAATACACCATCAGAATGCAAAACTTAAAGCGAATAGAGGTAAACTACTAGGACATCGGTTAGCGTAGTGTTTACAAATCCGGCTGCTAACCTCAAAGGCGGCAGTCAGCCACTCCGCGAGAGAAAGATGAGGCCTCGGAACCCCTGTGCAGGGTCACTATGGGTCGGAATAGACTCCACGGCACTTAACAACTGTTAACTGATGGAACATGGAGGGGATGGTCATAAAATGAAGTCTAGGGCTTACTGGATGTAAAAACTGATGATCTCTACAAACCTGCATTTAATTCACCATAAGACGCTTTAGAAAAAAAACAAGAAAAAACTGATGATCTGCTCCGTAAACCTTCCCTCAAAACCCACCCATAAAATTTTTTAAAAACAAAAACAAAACCACCATCATAAATACAGTAAATGGCAACTGACAGCTATCCTCAGGGTGGAAGACTGAGCCAGGGAGTGTGCGGACTGCGACAAACTAGGAAATTCATGCTCCATTTAAGGGGCAACCACCACCCAGTTC